ACCTGTGACGGATCGCGGACCCTGACACCAGCCTTAACCGTTCACGACCGGTAACACCACAATCAAATCACTTTTAGTGCCACAATGAGTAGTCCAGGGGACAAAATAACAAAATCATAACCTTTGAAACTTCTTAGTCTTTGCTGCCCTTACCTGGTGAAACTGCTCTTTCACAGCAAGTGGTTGGCGATCCTTCGGATATCTTTCTTCACAAGCCTATCATCTACTGTCTGAAAAAACAACGAATGACGAGAAGCACGAGAAAAAAGCTAAGCAGTGTAGGTATACCTCGTCCTTAATTTGTATCCTATCACCGTCCTCTTCAACAATAAAAAGTCGGTCTTCATCAGAATCAGAATCCATTACGTTGAAGACGTCTGTAGGGAGGGGGTTCTCAGAAAATCAACGTTGTCTGCCTTTAGGCAGGTGAAGCAGCTACTCGTAGGAGAAAGGACTCTGTCGATAAGCCTGGCAAAAGCACAAAGGGGATGGCCGGGGTACCGCTGTACTCGCACTTCGTTAACCGGAAACGTTATCACGCATTTTCGTGTTCAGACACGATTACAACGGTTGCACCGTTTCCGATGTCGTCACTGTAAACATGCATTCGATGCGGGACCCAACAAAGAAAGTTTAGGGGAGACGGTCAAGAGTCCCCTCGACCGCCGCGCTAAAACTAGGTCACCGCGCGCGACGTCGCCGACGTTTTTGCAGTTTGAAACATGGCAATTGGCCAAGTTTAGGACCCGCCTCTCTAGACGATCGATACAACACTTTTTTGTTCCGTCTGTGTAGTCCCCATTTCTGCATTTGTTTTGCTTAGTCCTAGCAATTGCCACGTTCCAACTTGTAAGGACCGGTAGCCGCCGCGTGCGGTGACCTACTTTCGCTTGCGCGGCGACCTCAGGGGGACTCTTGTCTCGCATCCGCAGAGGGTGATGGGGAAGTGGGAATAGGGAGGTCGCTGCCACGGCGAGCGGCATGCTCGCGACTTTTAGTGAAGGGGAAATGTAGCCAATTCAGGGGTGAGCCAAATGACTAACCAGCTGGAATGTACGAGTTTACATTAACTCGCTGAGGGGACTCAGACATGCTGCAAGCCGCGGCGGCGACTGACCCTCCCCCATCCTCCACCACCCAAAGAGAGAGATGTAATCACACAAATAGACATCAGATTGTGTATAATTCTAAGACGTCACCTGGAACGTCCTGGGCGGTTAATAGGCGTCAATAACACATACTCGCGCTCAGCGCGTTTAGAGTCGACGTCCACCAATGACCATCGTGCACGTCATCGTTAACCCCGCTCCGCCTTCCAACCATCACTATCATTGTCTTTACCACGCTATGAACAGCAGCCCCAATAAGAAGCGAAGCTTAGATATTTTGAACGGCACTTGACTGTTGTATGTAGAAATTGACGAAAGGTGCAATTCTTCTGTTTTGCAACATGTCGCACAGCTGTGACTTATTGAGATATGAGATGATTAAGAGCATGTTTTCTTTCGTCAACCACACCGAAATTCGTTAGTGGTGAACAGCAAGCGAGAAATCAGAGCCGATGGGAAGTCAGAGCTCACAGGGGGGGGGGGGGGGCGAGTGAGAAGTTTTTTTCGTTCCGGTCCGGGTAAGAGTTGTGATCCGGGAGCAAATAGCTCGTTAACTCCTGCACATTCGTTGTGGTCAACATTGAGGGGAAACGAGGTAATCGAGTCAAATTAGTTGTTGAGTAAGTTGCATTTAAAGGTTGTTGAGAAGATGACAAAACATTGAGAAAGAGACAAAACAAAGGACTTTTAGATATAGGTAGAAGAATTTTCTCTACTGTTACATAAAATCACAGCGGCTTTGTAAAAGTGATTAAGAACTGAAGTAAGCGCTATCTCAATATGTGGGGCATCTTCTGAGACTAAGCTCAAAGGGTTGAACCGTCACTCCATGTGAGAAATCAACGCACTGTAGAGTCTCTTTTTCTTTGCTTGAGGGAGGATTCCACGATAAGAACGAAAGTAGAAGGGGAAACAAATTAATGGAGACAGGGGTGTAGACCCTGTCTCCATTAAAACGCGATCCGCAGATCTTTAGCGGCGAGTGCTTAGGTAGCAGAGAGAGCGCGTTAGCGTAGCGGTAGTGGCAGTTACGTCAATGCGGAAATAAAGAAGTGTCATTTCTTGGTTCGCCTCGTTCACCATGATTCTGACCTTTTCAATCCCGTTAGTGACCGACAACTCTCACTCTATTTCTAATAAGTAATGTTCCCCATCGTAAAATCGCGCTGTTTTAAATGCATTGCCACCACAATACCCCCGTATATTGCGACAGCGCCATAAAGCATTCAGGTTTGAGCAGAGTGCGGAAGCTTTCCAAACAGCACAAAATTTGGCTAGCAGTGCGCCTCACAACAGGGATACCATATCACTCTCTTAGGGTAGGCAAAGGGATTAATACTGATGTATACCGTGTAAGTGACATTGAAAGGGAGGCCGACGGCAACAAAAGTTCACAACGGCCAAAAACTTAATAATGAAACGAAAGCTTCCTGAGTTTCTACGTAATCCATGTAAGGAGGCTCCGCGTGATCGCAGTATTGCTTGTGATGTGGCAGGTGCTAGGCTATATTTCTTATGTTGTCAGCAATTCAGTATTTGGAAGTATTCTAATATAATAGAGAAATTTACAACGTGTTCCGTAGCATCATAATTGTCTTCGTATCGTGATATTCGTTCAATCAGAGGAACGGTTTGTTTACTACAGAATATCATTTGAGACGGACGGAATGAAGCCTTCGTATACAGAATAATCCTTCAATCAAGAAACCCTTCTCTTACAAAACAGCAGTGATTCTCATGGCTAGAGCTTCATATAACGCATACCGAAAATTGGTGGCGGCATTTAGGTCTATAGGTCTATTTATTGGTAAACGCCCACAAAGCTGCCCGGTTTGTGAGAGCAAGTGACAGGGCAAGTTGCCTACAGAACCCAAGCCGCTAACCATATTAGGGTTTTCCCCATAAGCCTTACGCTATCGATGTTTCCGATCGTGATAGTCCTCCTCTGCTTTATAAAATGGTAATAAGTATGGGCGTCTGCTGGACCGCCGTCTTTACATGATTAATAAGTTCTCAAAACTGTTTATTACTTATTCATTTATTTGCATACATTCAGTTGGACGCACTTGATAAGGTAAAAAGGTATGATTCAAGATAGCACTTACTTCAATCCATGATAGGACAGCAGTCGTTACTCGTAATGATTCCACAGACTACATAGTATGGGGTGGTACCGTGCCAACGAGTCGTAAGTACAGGGTGAATATGCGGCGAGGGAATATCCTCGACAGAAGGTCGTATTGTCAGAATGTTGGGTCATTGGGGAAGGGCGTACCAGGGGTGAAGTATGGCTTGAGGATTCTCCCGCATGTCGGCTTTCTGCTGCGGCGATTCAGACACGATCTCTCGCGCGGACATTCACACTCGCCATGCGCGTGCCGTCTGTGCTCTCCGCGCGGATGTTCACTCTCGGCACTACTCTCACATGGTAGAGAGCTATGGTCGAGGAAATCCTCGACCGTTATTCACCCTGGGTCGTACTCGTGGGAGTCAGTAACTTCAGTGGCATCGGCGTGCAGATAGAAGGATAGGGGTGGGGGTGTAGCGCAGCAGAAAACGAGAAAACGAGAAAACATGATATAGAAATACTCCTTTAGCACATTCTACGACGCTCAGTCTACCTCCAAAGCAGGTTGTTGAAAGTATGCAAAGAATGAAAGTGCATCTTTAAAAGGAACAGGGTCACATGTGCACACGCGCTGCAAAGGCATTTCCTCTATCTACCGGCCTGCTCCCTCGCCCTCAGTACCTCGTTGAAAATGACGCTGTCTTAGGGACGCTGTCGCATAAACGGCAACAGTTCTGGAAAGACCTTGGGCTAATGAAGCTGCTCCTTAGGTTACGGGTGTTACAAAATGTGTTTACTACAATACAGCTTATGTTAACAGGTCATGATCATATAACACCTTTCAGTCGATTCTGCAACTTCGAGTGAAGGTCGGATGCATGGGCGATGCTGAGACGAGATCGGACGATGACGACTGCCCCTCCTCTTGTCGCTTACGTTAAGAGAATTTGTTCTACGACAGCATGAGAGTTGGCGCAAACGGAATCACAGCTTGCCCTGGTGAAGAAGTGAAGTCGATGCACCATTTACGAAATATACGACCCTTTTGCTTGACCCAAAATTGACCGGACCAAAGCCTATAGAGTTGCTCTTGCCACGCGGATTGTACCGACACGATGCGACCTCAAACTTGGGTAATTAAACCTTTACTAAGCCCAAAACAACAAATAAACATGAACAAATACATGGAGAAACTCATTCCCAAAGTTGGAGGTCAAAAACCTCCAAATCTGCCCAATTTGGACTAATCCCAGCAACTAGAAAATACAATCAATCAGAGAATACTCAATCGCCCGAAAAGAGAGTTTTTGCCACCCTCAAAATCTTCCCTTTTTGCCTATTCCCCCAGCTAGAAGAGAAAAAACTGGAGCACGCCTCTCCCCTCCATCAATCGCCCGAGTTTATATAGTGGCTTGATCTACGTTCCACGCATTCCAACTTAGAAAGCCTCTTGTGAAAATGCCGCCGGATCGCTGAATTACGTGCACACTGAAAAAAATTGCATAATGGATCGTCCATTAACGCATTCTTACTTTGCAAGCCTTCTGGGAAAGTGAACTATGACCCGGCGAAGACGTGCAAAACAGAAGCGGATATATGTAATCTCACTGACCATGAATCATCACACTTGCATAAATTGGTCGCTCTTTGCGACATTCCCGGCAGAGTTTCAGGTGCTCGAGATCCGTCCTCGATAGATCCTCGACGCAAATATCTCCTCAACTAGAGAGTGTAGAAGGAAACATAAACATACTACTAGAAAGCGCAAACCTTCCGCTTTCATAGCTCTCTTCATTTTTCCAAGGTTCTGTGAAATCAGAGAGATATTGCTTTTCAAGTGGCAAAAATTCGCATGAGAAATTCCGCATCCTCCACGCTGCCTCGACAAAATTTGAAAAAAATTACCTCTTCGATTGTAACGCTTTTAGATCGATTCCAATATTGTCCGGTAGCAGCTGCTCTCTCTAAACCACTACTTACTGTTTTTTTTTTGCCAACAGGCTATGAAACGGGCAATGAACTTTCGTCGAGCGTGTAAGATTTCGAACGGCTTCTGGGCGGGGTTTCAGCAAATCTGACCCACGGACATACCGCCCTGCAATTAAATGCTTCGCTGTACATTAAATCAATGTTAGAGGGGTCGTATCGAGATCCCGATGTGAGGGGGGTCGTACTGAGGTGACCAC